AGATTTGGGTGCCCAAGGCGGGAGGAATGAGAAAGCTTCTCATGGAAGAAGCTTACAAGACCATGTACTCGATCCTGGTAATAGCAAGATGTTTAGGGATCTAAAGCCTTACTATTGGTGGCCGACGATGAAGTTCGACGTTGCAAAGTATGTGGTTGAATGCATGACCTGCATATACCCATGGGTAAATGGGAAGACATCACCATGGATTCTGTGAGCAATTTACCCAGCACAAAGAGTGCACAACACGATTAGGGTAATCGTGGATTGATTCACAAAGAGTGCACGATTTATAGCGGCTAATGATAGATGGTCTATGGACAAGCTTGCAAATGTTTACGTGAAAGAGATAGTGAAACTTCATGGTGTTCCCTTGACAATTGTGTTAGACAATGACAGTCATTTCACCTCTAGATTTTGGAAGAGCTTCCAGGAAGAGATAAGTACAAAGTTGTGTTTAGGTACAACCTATTGTCCGCAGACTGATGGTCAGAGTGAAAGGACAATTCAAACACTATAGGATACATAAAGAGCTTATATAATAGAATTTCCCAATATCTGGGATGAGCATCTACCTTTGGTAGAATTTTCCGACAAAGCCTTCCACTGTCACTGTGGACCGAGACTACGCAAAGGTAGAACATCATAGAAACTTCGCCGACTTTCTCATAAACCTTGATTTCACTACGCTCAATAAGAAGCCGGAATCGCTTAAATTGGTTCATGTTTCGTTTCCAAAGTAATTCGTCTTTACCCAAGTGTGAACTTCAGAAGACTCTCAATAATAGTTACCATTTGAGCATTAAGATGGCACCTTATCATGCGTCGTACAGTCATAAACGTCGTATGTCGTCTTGTTGGCTTGAAACTGGAGATAAACACTTTATGGTCTTGAGATTTTCCATCAGACCGATGAGAAACTGAAAGTGATCAGGGAAGGATGTTAGCAGCTTAAATTCGTCAGAAGAGATATGCTGACAAAAAGCGACAACCGATTACTTTTGAAATCGGAGACCAAGTGTTGCTTAAATTCTCGTCATGGAAGGGACATATCAGATTTGGAAAGCGAGGAAAGTAGAGTCCAATATTCATTGGACCATTCAAAGTTCTTCATAGAATTGGGAACCAAGCTTATAAGCTAGAATTTCCAAAAGAATTGGAAGACATTCATCACACTTTTCATGTATTTTATTAGAGGAAGTTCCCGGGATAAGTTCCCGATATAATTCCCCTTACAGAGTTAAGGATCGATGAAAATATGAGGCTAATTGAAGAACCCGAATCGATTGTTGACCGTAAGACGAAGAGGTTACGGCGTAAGATGGTTGATTTTGTGCTAGTGTTATGAAAACATACGTCTGGGAAAGTGACATGATGAGTCGCTACCCATATCTGTTTGTTGATGCATGATTCTGAGACGGAATCATCCTAAGAATGAGAGATTTGTAATGCTAGTGTTTTCTTGATAGACATTAAGAAGATGATATACTGTAATTGTCAACAATTGTAACCTTTATATGAATTAAATAAAGAGAATTATAACGTATTATGTGTTCTATGTGTAGTTATATGTAGTATACGTACTTAAAACGATATAATAAAAGAAGAAATAAAATACGCATCTTAAATAGAATAATAATTAGGACGAATAACCTTGATGAAATTCTAAGTAGTCGTGATGAGGATTCTTGGGATATAAGGAATGCTCAAATCGGGCGTAGAACGAAGAAGTTACGACTCGTTGAAGTTTCGGGTTCGACTCGGTGCGAACTCGAGTGTCATAAATAGTGAATCAAAGACAGATCACTTATTAGCATAAGTAGTCTAAACTAAAGTCGTAGTGATCGTAAAACCAAGAGCGTGCATATATAGAACACACAAATCTGACTTCATGAGAGGAAGTTAAGTCTCTAAAGTTTTTTTTCTTGTCTTCTAAGGGAAAAAAGGTGTTTTTTCCGGGTCGATTTGGTCACTTTGGACAAAATGAAAAGGTAAACCGGTTACCCATTTGCCACATAGACATGACCCATTTTCCTTATCATTGACTTTGAAAAGTCAAAAAATTCAAAAGACTCAGTGTTGTTGTTCTTCTTCGTCAACCTAAATGGGCAAACAGGAAGGGTCCAACATAGTAAGGGTAGCAATTTGTTCCATAAAAAGGCATGAAAAAAACTTTAGGGAGTGAAAGGGTAAAGTCAAAATATATAGTAAGGTTGTTGTGTCATTTTCTCTTCTAATAAAGTTTGTATCTCTTAAGTAGGGAGAAAGCAAATACACTTCACTTTTTGTTCTATAGATTTTTTCAGATTTATTAGATCAATGCAAGAGTTGATATTATGTTTTTGAAAGTAACTATGTACTCACATGACAAAATTATGTGACTTGGGGGTAAGGGTAGCACTTCGCCTTAACATTTTTCAAAGACCTAAACGTATAAAGTACTAAGACTTAGTCTAGTTTCAATATTCTAGGGACTATATATTGATAGTCTAAATTTTTCAACAATCTCAATATCTATATCAAGATTTATCAAGTAAGGAATAATCAGGTAAGATCATATCGAATGTAGGGTCCGTTTGGTATACATAGTATACTGTTTGGAAATCTCACTTTAAACACTTCACTAAATCCAGCCTAGACATCACTTCCGTAAGTAAATCAATCAATATAATGACTTAGAACCACTCATAAATCTTAATTATCAAAAGAGATGATTAGAATAAAGAATTAATATATTCTACTTGTCAATACCTTATATGGGCAGGAACAAAAGGTAAAAGCAATTTAATTTTTCGTAAAGAGTATTTTATATATATCCCTTTTAAATATAAAAATATCATATTTAACGAATATCATATTTAACGAGTCTAATATATATATATATATATATATATATATATATATATATATATATATATATATATATATATATATATATATATATATATATATATATATATATATATATATATATATATATATATATATATCATTCATAAACGTTCATCTATCATATTTACTCATATTAATTTGAAAATTATTTTTTATATTTTAAAATAATTATATTTATAAAATAAATAAATTGACCATATTGTCCGCCCACCATAAGCCTTCTTAGCGGCCACCACCTTTTTTATTCCTTTTCAACCTTCTGGGTTGCTCAACTCTAAATAGACTTGTTAGTTAAGAGTTAATATGATATTGAGAATTGATGCGCATGTGACATCCCAATTTTTTTCACGGCCAGAAAAAGATGATTTAATTATGTTTATTTCATTTTAGTGTATCCTTTTTAAGAATTATAACATGGAATTTGTTCACAATAAAGTGATAATATCATTACCAAACATTTCCGAAGAAATGTGTTTCATTAATAACTTCATGATGTCATCGTCAATATAGAAACATAAGCATAACAAAAATATTACAGACCTTACAATAGTTTATTACATTATGGCCTACAATTATCCATAAATCATTCAACATCCTTGTGCCTTACAAAAAAACTGAGTGGGTCAGACTTGGGGCTTAGTTGCAATAATTAAGTTCTTTATATATTTTACATCAATAATTTACCTGATTACCTATTCCCGTTATTCTCACATACTGATCCTAAAATACTAACCTCAAATGAACTATCCTAAGGATCATCATCATCAACGAGTAGACAATATTGCTTCGGGGATTCCTTTAGCAATATATGTTAATAAGGCAACCAAATGGATAGAGTACATTAAATGAATAGATAATTCATTAATACCTAAATGTTGTAAGTCTGCAAGTGTTTCCACTGGACTGTCTAGAATAGTTTGTGGTCGTCATCTATACTCTGCTATACGACTGGTTCATCATTAGTCAAGTCCTCTCATCATTTTTATCACCCATTACTACCCAACATATTTTATACAAATATATAAGACAATACATATATGATTAACCAAGTAAAATTGTATAAGTTATCTAACACATATATCAAGTAATTCAGATAATATGCACACATATAATTTAATCGCGTAGATACTTTATATCTATGTGTAAGCTGAAAGTAACTATAAACTCACTTGTTAAAGTGGATCACTAGAAAGTTGGGTGGCATTTTGCTTTAGCACTTATCATTTCCTTTGATGTGACTTAGGTTTAATTATAACTAAGTGTTAGTTTATTATTTCTTATGACTAATTAATAGTCTAATAATCCCAAAGTCTACATCAATATCTATCAAGTAAGAAACAACAATGTATGATCATATTGGAGGTATGATCTTTTTGGTATATAGAGTATACTGTTTGGAAAACAAACTTTAAATACCTCATAAAATCCAGCATTGACATCATCCCCGTAAGTAAATCATTCAGTATAATGATTTATAACTATAAATATAAGTTACATTGAAAGAGAAAGAGTGTAGCTTATCTTACCGAGTAGTTTGATGAAAACTAGGAATTATACGGACATGTTAAAAATATAACTTTAAAAATAAAGTCAAAAATATCCTACAAAGTTTAAATGAAAGTTGTAGATCTCGTCAATAGCTACGTATAGATATAAAACCTGTTGAAAACGGAGGTCGTACAAAGAAGATATGAACTTTTGAAGAAAATATAAATTTTCGCATGCTGTCGCACGCATGAACAAGGAGCGCGATGCGAAACTGACACACCACCCAAATCGCCACATCTGACACAATAAGAAAGTGATACGTCACTCCTTCCGATTAGATGTGCAACACACACCTGATATATGCGTGACGTGCATTTCAAAAATCCTATAAATAGCTCCATTATGTATATGCTCCTCATATTTCGTTCCTACAGCCTCTATCGCTCAGTTCTCCCTTCCCGTGTCCCATTTTCCTTAAGTTTTCTAGCATCCCGACGAAGCCCTGCTAAGTACCCGACTAGTAGTAGCTATCTAGTAGAAGCTCTCTGACCAGATTTAATGAAAAGAATTTTCCTTAATAAAATTAAAAAAAAAAAAAATAAGAACAAGACCAAAACAAAATGTATAACATACTCTTTTATTACCCATACTGGCATACACGCCGTTCTAAAATAAATTACCAATATACAAAATATAGCGAGAATAACCCCAGTGCACTTTTCGATGCGAAGGGTACAACATACTCGTCTTTCTCCAAAATTAAGAATCCAGCTCTTCTCGGTATACTTTACCAATTTGAGAAGAGGAACAAGGAGAAGACCGAGAGATTCTTTGCAAAATCGCCATTGATGATGACTTGGTTTTCAGTTTTAATCGTCTGTCTAATAATTCTACATGCAACTCCTACTTTCTCGATCTCACTCCGATTTTTCAGTTCCAACTTACCAGCCGAAACCGGACATTCGCTATTAGGCGACGCTCACTTCGTCGATGGTGGACATGCTGTTCAACTCAGTCGAACAACGCCTCTAAGCTTCGGTATCATGTTACACAGCTCGCCTTACAAATTCAGTTCTTCGACGTCGTTTTCCTCAAACTTCACGTTCGAGATCGGTAATGGCGTTGCGCTGGTAATCATTCCCGCTGATTTTCCTTCTAAATTTGCCAGGAACATGTCGTCTGGGCTCCAGGATGTAAATCGATTCTTCGGTATCGAGTTTGATGTAAATGTGTGTAAAATTTCATCTTCTAGGGTTAGCAACGTTTCGAAAAATAATAATGTTTTGAAGAGCGGAGTGAATTTAACGTCGTGGGTAAATTACTTTGCGATATCAAATCAGCTAGATGTTAGGGTAAGCAAATCAGGTGATTCGAGGCCTGTTGAGCCACTGATTTCGCATCACATAAATTTGGGGGAAATGTTGAATGGAGAAGAGGTTTTATTAGGTCTGGCATCAATTAACGAAAAACCTGAGCAGATTACAACTGTGTACTCATGGAACTCTGATATTAAAGATATTCCAAAATGGATGCATTCAATTCCGGTTTTTCCGCTGGATTCTTCAACACAACACCATGATGTGAAAACTTATAAGAAAAAAGTTAGTTTTCTTTCAGGGTTCATAGTTGCTACAGGTTGTGGAGCATTGGCAGCTTTGGCTTTGTTCTTCCTGTGGGCATTTGTTGCTGATAAGCAGAAAGCTCAAGGGGAGCCTTCTGTGCACCCTGTTGATTTCAAATATGAAAAGATTGGTGTTCTTGAAGCCAACAACATTTCAGAAAGTGCTATGAAGTAGAGAGATGATGATGATCTGGTATGTTAACTCATCGTTGTTGTTCTGTTAGGTTCTGATTATGTAAATCTTGAATGTGGAGTTCAAAGTTTTGCTCATCTGGGAATCCACAAACATATTTGAATTTCTGGCTGTTTTGAACATTTTACCATTTAATTAGTAAACTGTTCGGGCTCTAATGATATTTGTATTTCAATTTAACATCATGTTTAAGTATGTAGTTTTTTTTTCCTGGATTAAATGAGTGCAAGCAAATGTTCAACTGCTTTAAAAAAATGAGTGCAAGCAGATATCTTTAATTTCCAGAAAGTCTTTAAGGATTAATAAGCAATGGTAGCCATCAGAAGGGTAAATGAGTAATTTACTTTGGACCAGGACCAAATACACAATGAAATATGGCCATAAGAACGATATTTGCAAATTTTTTGGTTAAGGGGATAAACCTCCAAGTTTTTGCTAAAGACAGGGACCAAATTTGCAGTTTACTCTTATTTTTACTTGTAGAAAATATTACACTTAGATTTTAGACATCATGTGTGGATAATGACATGTTATAAAAATATGTGAACTTATGCAATATTTCTTATAATTCAAAATGGTAGATTGCTCTTAGTCACAATATGTATAAGGTGCAATGCCCTAATAAAAACTGTTATTAGTAATAAAGGAAGAGGATTGTAAATGTTTGGATAGTATAAACATAATTTTTTTTTTGAAAATATATTACTATTATTTTTTTCATGTAGCCGTTTTAAATATTTAAATATCCCAGTGACATTTTTACAATGATATAATTGATGTAAATATATTTTCATTGTTTATGTTAAATATTTATCAGTATGTGAATTCATTAAAGTATGATAGATATAGAAGAGAAAAAAAAACAGTTTTAATAATCAAAAGTAGGGGTGCAAACAGGTCAAGCTACTTAGGATTGACTGTTAAAAACTCGACTCAAAATCGATTTTAAATGAGTCTGAGCCGAACTTGAGCTTAATATTAGGTTTGTTTATTAAACGAGCTCGAGTTCGAGCTTTGTTACTAAGCCCGATTAGGCTTGCTAGCTTAAACGAGCACACATATATATATATATATATATATATATATATATATATATATATATATATATATATATATATATAAAGTTTAAATGTATTTTTATATATTAAAATAAATAAATATTTAATAAATACTATTTTAGGAATTAGGTATACCCTATACGAGCCCAAACCGAGACTGATTCTGTATTATGCTACATGAGCTGATCTCGAGCTTCATGCCATAAGGCTCAAAAAGCTGAGCTCGAGCCCAAAAAAATTAAACGAGACAAGCCAAAGCATGGTTAGATTTGGGTTCGGCTCGTTTACACCAAAATGAAAAGGTTAAAGGAGAAACATTTTAAATTGTTGTGTAATTAACAGTGCATTAAAATATTTTGAAAGCAAGTATATAAATTTTTTCTGAAAATATTTATCAATAAAGGAAGGATTGTAAATGTTTCGAAAGTATAAAGCATAAATTTTTTTTGAAAATATATTGTTATTTCTTCTATTTAGACTTCTGAAATATCGCAATGACATTTTTACAATGATATAATTAATCTGAATTCGTTAAAATATGAGAAAATAGAAAAAAAAATTATTAATCAAAAGGTTAAAATAGAATCATTTTAAATTGTAGTGTAATTAAGAGTGGCTACACCAAATTAGTATATGCTATTAATTCACAAAGGATTTAGGAAACACTACATTTTATCAGCTTCAGAGTTTTGCCACATTGTAGAGATTGCCACTTTTTGTCTCTCCTCACTTGTGGGGTTTAGACTTTAGCCACAGAATTTAATTTAGTATAATTTGACAAATCACGTTATCTGTATTACAGGTTTATATGTTGTTGAGACCAGAATAATATTTTACGATTGTATATTGTAGATAACCTTAATAGCTAAATATTCTTCAATGTGTGTGCACTACAAAAAGTGGATGCAAACAACGATTTGATTGCAATAAACCTGTAAAAGGGAGGTTCCTAAATGACACAATGGAACGTGGAAAGTGTGGTAAATAAAGAAATTAAATAAAGGATTAGCTGGAGTTCGTTTTTGAAGATATAAAATGTTTTTGATTTTCTTTTTAATGTTTAAGAAATAAGAGTATTTTTTTTTATGTCTTTAGTCTTCTTAAAAAATTATTTCTTTTTTAAAATCTTCATAAAAAGGATAGGCGTTGGTGCTGGTTGTGGCGGCGATGGTGGAATTGCTGTTGGTGGAGGTGGTGGTGCGGGCACATGTGAGGGTGGAGGTGGTGGTGCGGGCACATGTGAGGGTGGAGGTGGTGGTGCTGGAGGTGAGGGCGATGACAAAGACAAAGGTTGAGGTAACAGTGATGGTGGTAATGGTGACAACGACAGTGGTGATGGTGGAGGAAAAAGAAATCACATTTGGATTACAACTTCGAAAATGCCTTCCAAAATTGGATTACAAAATGTCTTTTGTTCTCAAACATTTTTCCGTATTATAAGTGGTGAAAAAAACATTTTGCCAAAAAACAAACACCATCTTAGTGTAATGAGAAGAAACTATTCGAGTCCTAAATATACACCTTTCGTCAATAGTATGAATTGTACATATTTGTTAACTCCTGATAACGATAGATCAAAACCTTTAGGGTGAGTAAGAAATTATTTATTTTTATACAAAACACCTTATTTAAACAGAAGCCATAAACTAGTAACGAAATACATGTTTTTATTTATAAGATACCAATATTTTGTGAGCATGAAATTTCAATTGATTACCTTTTGATATTTTTTTATGCTTTGTGAAAATTAAATATTTAATTAGATAGTCATCAACATTAATCTAAAATAAATAAATAACTAATAGAAGATTGCTTTGAATATTAGGCCATTTGATACGGGGGACACATCAAGCGGTGAGGTTTCTCTCCACCTTACCACCATCTACTTCTACACCATTGTTGGTATGTGATCTCGCGTTGTATACACCACATATGCCAACGATCATGGCACCACAACACCCCCTGGGGTGGTGTGCATTGTCATGGTAAACATGCCAGGTGGCCAGGGGCGGTCCTAGCTAGGTGCCCGGTGTGGCACCGGCAACACCTAGCTTCCGCGTACGTAGTAGAAATTTTTTTATTTTTTTAAAATTTTTACCTATTATGCCACTACGTAAAAAAATCGTGCAACTACTAAAAAAATTGTGCAACTACATAAAAAAAATTGTCACTCTATCGGGAATTACCAAACGAAAAAAATAATAACGAGCCCACAATCCAATGTTTTAATCGATTATTATCTAATAGTCCAATTACCCAAAGCCCAAAATAAAACTTAAGTGGATAAATTAGCAATTGGGCTAATTGCTTGTAAAAAAGATAGTCCATCCCAATTATTTTAATTGCTAATTGCTTGTAAAAAAGATAGCCCATCCCAATTATTTTAGTATCTAATTGATGATCGGTACAAGCAAAAAAAAAAAAAAAAACCCGATCGTTGCCTCCAGTGGATCTCCAGACGTCGACTCAACTTCTTGGCTCCAATCGATTGCCTAATCAATGTCGATTGCCCCTGGAATCTGGATGACTTCTATATTCTATCGAGTCACAGCCTAATTCTGTCTTCTTGATCGTGAATCACAGCCCAAAATCGATTTTGTTGTTTGCCTTGAATCTTGATCGATTTCTTGAAGCAGTTGTCAACAATAGTATCAATCAACTTCTGTCTAAGTCTAACTGTGTTCTTTCAATTTCTACAATGAAGCAAGTAAGTTTTACCAATTACCATTTACCAATTCATTTAGATATTTGAAATTGATGTGTTTTTTAAAGTTATTGATTGACTTGGGTGAAATTGATTTGTTTTGTTGAAGTTATATTGTTTGATTAGGTTATATTCATATATTGCTATGTTTTTTTTATTGAATTGATTGTTTGATTAGGTGAAATTCATATGTTTTTTATTGAATTGATTGTTTGATTAGGTGAAAGCAACTTGTCTTATTAAAGTCATTGTTTGATTAGGTGTAATTGTTATGTTTTTATTGAATTTTTGTTTGATTAGGTGAAAACAACTTGTTTTATTGAAGTCATTGTTTGATTAGGTGTAATTGTTTAGTTTTTATTGAATTTTTGTTTGATTAGGTGAAAGCAACTTGTTTTGTTGAAGTCATTGTTTGATTAGGTGTAATTGTTAAGTTTTTATTGAATTTTTGTTTGATTAGGTGAAAGCAACTTGTTTTATTGTTTGATTAGGTGTAATTGTTATATTTTTGTAGGTTAAACTAAGTGGTTTTTTTTACCAAAAGACAAAGACTTAATCCTAATGAAAGCGGTGAAGAATGTTCCCAAATACCAATCACCAATCAATCAATTCCTTCCGTTTGTAATCCTAATGCAACTCCACAAACACCAATCACCAATCATTCAATCCCTTCGGTTTCTAATCCAACTCCACAAACACCATGTTCTAACCAACCTAATGATAACGTTGACTTGAAAGATCTTCCAAAGGACCCGGCGGATAGGCCATTGATTACAAGTTACAATTCAAATATAAGAGATGATGTAAGAAGAGCATATTTGCTTCAAGGACCGTGTCAAGTAAGGGCACATAATTTTCCTAAAAAAAATAGGTGATAGATTTAGAAGATTCGTTCCTTCATGGTTTAATGACTTTGATTGGTTGGAATATAGTGTGAAAAAGAATTGTGCATATTGTTTATATTGTTATTTGTGTGGGAACCTCATGGGACAAAAAGGAGGGAGAGATGCATTTGTTTCCCAAGGTTTTGATATTTGGAATAAAAAAGATGCATTTCGAACTCATGTGGGTGGTGTTGATAGTTTTCACAACAAAGCAAGAGAAAAGTGTGAGTTTTTAATGAGGGAAAAACAAGCAATTAATGTAGTTTTGAGGAGGCAAACCGAAGCGGAGGACAATAAATATAAAGCTCGATTACGTGTTTCTATTATTGTTGTTAG